AGAGAGAGAGAGAGAGAGTATATCAAAAGGGAAACAGAATAATAATAATTTAATGAAAACAACAGAAAATGACTGTAATTCTATGTCATTGTGATCGCTTAAAAATATGCTTTTACTTTTAGTCCCTCTATCAATATTACATTTATAAGGTAGTTATCAATTTATTGTTTTTCTTAATAACAATAACAATTTCGAAATTATTTCACAAATGCTCCTTTTTATAGTTCCATTCAGTGACCACGAATAATAGTTCCTAGCTGAGGCTGAAGTTTCTGCGCATAGCAAAACTACAGTTTATCATGCACGGTAACTCCAGCCTCGGCTAGAACTATTATTTGTGGTCACTGAATGGAATTGTAAAAACGTGTATTCTCTTGTCTCCTGGAGGTCGAAATTTTTTGCACAATTCACATCTTATATGATTTTCCAAGCAACAAAAAAACCTTAATATTACACAACTGTCTTTTAATAATGCTTAGTCATGACAATAGATGTCATCATGTCTATACATGTCTTTCATTTATAGTCTGTTTGCAGAGACAAGTAGTGCTTTGCATATTATGTGCTGAAGGTGCATTAGTTGAAACAATATGAGATACCAGGATATGAAATATGAATAAATGAATGAAAAAATAAATAAATAAATAAAGCACTAGCACCAAGAGGAGTAAAAAGTTGCATTATACAATGGAAACATGAAAAGTTGGATTCACAATACTTTCACAAATGACAAAAAACACTTGAAAAACTGTTAATAACTAGATTAATTCTTCATGAAAAATTTATAGAATTACTAGCATAAAGAAAAATTTTGGAGAGGCTTATTTACTTTCATTCTTTTCTACATGCATCGACTTTTCGATCTGCATGTTCAATGATAAATACTTGAACTGATAATAATAAAAACGGCAGGAAGGATAATTTAGCATTTGATGTATCCTATCCTAAATCCTAGTGTGTGGGTGGCTAAACTCAATGGATACTATTAGTAATAATTTGTTTCACAGCTTCTTATATCTTGAGAAGACCTAAATTGAAGTTATCAACTTCAACATCATTAGATGTGTTATGTTAATGTGCTCACTAATGCATTATCCATTCACTTGGAATTCAATTTGGCATGCATTTATTCAAAGCTTATACAAGGGACATAACTTATTTCATGGTTTAACAGCAAAGGATGGCACAAGACGTTCTTATTGTACTACATACAATATAGAAAACTACAGAAAAATAGTTTCACTTTCACTTCACTTTGACTGACAGCTTAACTTCTTAATAAAGATTTATTTCAAAAGAATTCAAAAACAAGACTTCAACAGAATGGGTATTACACAATACATCAGCACTTACATAAAATACATGTCAATTAATAAGTGGTTTTAATAAAACGTTAATGAGAATATCAAAGGATAGATAAATAACAATGGTATGATTTATCATATTGTTTAGGGAATAGGATAATAAATACAGAAATAATTAGGACGATGAAGCGCTTAGATTGATTATTTTCTAACCTTAAGGCGTGAATACAGTAAATAAGTTTTGGCATATTCTTTTTGTCATAAATGTCTGTAGTTTCTGGGAAAAAGACCTGAAATAACAAATAGCAGACAACAAAAACAACAAAAATATATATTAATATTGAGCAAAAATGTAACACAATTTCTGTAAACTAGAAATTTCAACAAAAAATTTGCATAAGTATTAAAAATTATAAACCTGGCATAGTAACTTTCAAATACATATTTTTTTGCCTATTTTTGGAAGTATATATATATATATAAGATATTGATTCATGGATCAGGGATAAATCTTTATAATTTATTTCAGAAATGCATTATTATATTGGAAATTTATTTTTGAATAATAATGTTTTGAACAGTCTAAAGTGGAATTTTATGCTCAAGTAGATATACTAAAGAATGCTTTAGAGGATAGAGAGGTAATAACCAAAAGCAATTTTGGAAGTTTAGGATCACGTTATTATTCTAGAATCTGCAAAAGCCTGAGTAAATATATCAACAACGTGTCTAATTCTGTCTAGAAATCAAAGCATAGATTATAATATACCTTTGGAAGACCAACATCATCTAATGCTTTAAAGAAATAATTTATATTGTCTGTGTGGCGAAAATGGAGCCCCTTGGACTGTAAAACAAGAGAAAAGGATAATAGTAAAGTTTGTATTAAGACGAAAAGCGAAAGTAAAATAACTTGGTGTTAAAGTTTGTACATTTCAATGAGTTAGTTCATTTCAGACAAGAATGCTTTAACGAGTTATATTCAAACAATAACATCCAATAACTGCAGTATACGGAATTGGAAATTTTGTTATCGGGGTGTTAATCTATTTGATGGGGTTTTATTGCGCTTACAAGAAAATGTTTCAGCTCTTTGTCGAAGATTCTACGATGAGGTACAACTTTTGGAGCAAAGAAGTTGCCGAGTTTCGCAAGATGGACACCATTTCTCATGCTTTCTTCAAGTTCTGTAGTTTCAGGAAGGTCCTCTTTAAGGCAAGCTTCCATCCACCTGTAAGAATGATACTCGAGTTACAAACCCACAAATTATTTAACGTTGACAAGCAAGCATTGAATCTTAATGCCTCATTCAAAGGGTGTTGCCTATGCACTCTCAGCCATTCAAACCACGAGTAACTCTCAACTTATATACTCACACTTTGGCTTCTTCTAAATGACACAAATATTGATAAGCCAAGTTTTGTTTTCTTTGTTCATCCATCTCTGTTCCTGAAGCTCTCTCGAGTCCGCTTTCTCCTCAGAAAAATAAAAATAAAAATATTAGATTTTTCTTCAAAATCGCGCGCTAGTCTCGGCCATTTTACCTCCACTTTCATAAATTCCACTTGGTTCCCAATGTCCATCTTCCTTATCTATATTATTCTCCATATCTTGAATATACTTCCCTGTCCTCAGGGTCTCAGTATGACCACGACAGTCCCCGTGGTTTTAACGCTAAATATTCGTGAGGATAAGAAGGAGGTGGTTCGTTTGTTTTGTTCAAGGCGCACTTTGGAGGGAATTTCGAACCAGACCTCAGAAATTATGGGATAGTTATCAACTCCACCCCTCCCCACACGTTAACAAACTTCCCTCATTATGCCCACGAAAGAAAAATATAACATCTTCTAATATGATTTATCAGGGGGAAAACACCAATTTTTATATTTTAAAAATCTCATTGCGAATATCTTTTTATTCATCTATTTTTTTCAAAAATTAAACAAGAAAATAATCAAATACGCAAAACGATGGTACCAGCCCTCCCCTCCCCTAAATTAGTTTTGTATGTTGAAAATGTTAGGGGTCAGTTAATCAAATAAAACTTCGTGTTAGAGCGAGTATTTTTACAATCTTTGATCTTTGATCGTTTATCATTGATATAAGGCAACAAAAGAAGAACTTTGAGCGATTTTAGATTGAATTGGTAATTGGTAATTTTCTATTTTTACCAATCACGTCGTGTTCAACTGTGCAAAGTATTGTGTAAACATCGTTTTAGTGAGTGAAGTTGTTGCCGTGATTACGTGAATGTAAACATTGATTAACCTCGAAAACTCTACAAGAAACCCACAGTTATGGAGAAACCAAGCTCTAGAGGAATGGAAAAAACTTCACTCCCCTCTTTGACAACCGTAGAAAACAATCAAATGGCTATGCGACAAGAAACACTTAGTCGTATGGATTTTCTTGAAGACAGGCTGATGTATCAAGAAAAGACGACAAGATCGCTAATTGAGAGAGCACTGCGCGCTAAAGAGGACATCGTAGAGAGCCTGAATTATGCGCAAATGAGTTGGCAAGGAGAGAAAAAAGCGAGGGCATTACTACAAGAACATATTCGTACCATTACTTCTGTTGTCAAACGACTTAGCCGAGAGATAGAAGTTTTGGAAGATGAGATACGTTCAAAGGAGAGCAAGCTTGAGGGAAACAAGACGGCGTTCAAAAACCTCGAGTTACACCATGTCGCTGGAGTTACAGACTTGAGAGGAAGGGTCGCGAGATGTGATCATGCAATTGAAAGACTTGTAGCTGATGTGAGAGGCTGTGCTGAAGCAATTCATGAATTAAGACAGAAACAAGAATACAGTTCTAAAACTACTCATGATAAAATCCAGGATTTACAATCTGCTATCAATGAACTGACCTTAAAATTTGAGAAGTTCATTGCTGAACAATCTACAAATATCCAGAGGGTTAAAGGTGAAGCAGATGAACAAGTAACAAGGCTTGATTCCAAGACAAAATCTGTAGTCGAAGACCTGAGGGGAACCATATCTTCCAGTCGTCAATGGACAGAAAGTGAATACTCAAAACTTGCAAGGGATTTTCAAGAGAGAATTGAACGAATGGAAGGGATAATGTTTGAAAGGCAAAACAAACTGGAAAACAGAGTTGAAACGTATCTTTCAAAAATCGAAAAACTGTTAGAGGAAGAGAAGGGGAAGTATTATAACATATGGGAGGTGCGTCTCAAAGAGACCAAGTCTGCACAAGACAGAGCACTGAGTAACACTGCAGCATCGATGAGGCAAGAGTACAATCAAGGCTTTATTACCATTCATGAAAGTGTTACAAGTCTACAAAAAGTGTTTGATGCAAAGCTAAAACTTGCTGAGGATAATTTACAAAAGTCTATAAATAATGTACTGCGCATGGTGGTACTTACATAGTGTTTGATCACACTATATTTCATGTAGGATAAAGTATTCTTAGAGTTATAGCCATTCTAAAAACATACGATTGCCATCAAGTAGCTATAGTCAGAATCAAAACTGCAAAAGCAAAACTGGGTATATATAATGAACTAGTTTTTGATTGACATTGTCCAAAGCTCATGTTTTTGTTTAAAGAACTTGCTACTCCTTAGTACTATAAATGATTGGCAGTAGTTGTAAGTTAACAAGTTTTGGGTGGCAAAATTCTAGATGTAAATAGCATAATGACAAACAAAGTGTTAGTTGTATAGAATTTCCTTTTCCTGCCTTTCATGAGCATATTAAATTTATCACACAATAGACCAATCATCTTGGTGCAATGGTTCATATTTAGACCAGGTGTCATTCCCTAGAGAATGATTCTTTGTTTATTGTCTTCTTATGCACAACCATTAAACCAAGAATCATACTCTAGGGAATGACACCTTGACATGGTCTGTAATGGGGAAACATTGAACCAAGATGATTTAGGTATATTCAAAAGCTCAACGAATGTAATTGGAGTTACATATCAATGTGTCTAATTTCTTCGTAAGCTAATGGAATGTCATAACATAACATATATTACTTGGGTGATAATTTAAAGAAATAGAGATTAATAATGTAATCAAACATCTGTTGTTCTACTGAAATATTAGTATCTAAAGAAACACTAACAGATAGAGTGGATGCAATTAAACCGTGAAATAAAATCAAACTAAATACTAACTAATAGTATCTATTTAGTGACTAGTAGACACTATTACTCAACCAGAACATTTATTAAACAAAAGATTTGTCTTTGTATGATGAATGTTCTGGTTGAGTAATAGCAACTATTAAGTCACTAAATAGATACTATAAGTTAGTATTTAGCTTGATTTTATTTCATGGTTTAATTGCATCTGCTCTAGTAAGAGTGGTACCCTGCAGGGCTTAAAATAACAGCTGGTAAGTCGCTGGTTGTAATGACAGGCCAAATTAGTTTTAGCTTGGTCATACCTCCTTTCTGGCTCAACGTTACTGGTCAAAATAAATGGCAGGCAAAGATTTGACCAGACAAGTTGCAATTCTGGGTGGACATTGTCCAATGTTCTGCATTATTTTAAGCCCTGCCCTAGGTTCCAGAGGCTCTGTCAGTCATTCAAGCCCTTTCCTGTAATAGGTTCCAGTGTTCTCTTTTGGTGGTGAAACCAATGACCATCAAGACTAGATTGAAAGGGCCTCTTGAACCCAGGTTATACAAGAAGCAATCTTCTATATTTACACACTTGTGCTTGGCTTTTATCAGTCTAACTAATGACGGTTTTATTATGGTAATAATGGTAACAATCCACTTGGGCCTAATGTTTCCCCATATCAGACCATGTGCCATTCCCTGTTCAAGTTGTATCCATATTCATGTGTCTTCTCAATGTGCAACCATTAAAGAAAGAAATTAAACTCTAGGGAATGACATGGTTTGAAATCAGAAAACATTACGCTTAAGTGGATTTGGTCCATTTTAGCAACTCCATCTTTTTAGTCGTTAGTCGATTAAGTGTTTTGCCTGTGAGAAAGATAATATCTTAACACATAGCTTCTACTAATATGAGGAGTGACTGTATAACTTTGTACAAATGGTTTTTAAAAAAATAAAAAATATACAAAATTTGTTCTCTAAATAGGTCACACATACACACACATGTTATCTACTATAAGACTTACATCCAACAAAAACTTAGTACAACAAACAGAAGAATAATTTGATGGGGTAGAGTTTTTCCAAAGAAATTGATGCCATTCATTAAATTAAAGGCATGACTCTAAAAAGATAGTAATTCAAATCGATACACCCTGCTTTCCTATACTCATATCAAGCAAGTATTTTTGCTGTGAACAAAATTCAAAGCATTTTTCTCCTACCATAACAATTGAAATACAGTGAGAAAATCTGAAGGCCTATAGAGTAAATTTCTTACGACTGTGAAACACTACAGCGCATGGCAGAACAGACCTCATTTGTCTTGCTGCAATGTTTTCCCATTACAGACCAAGTGTCATGTCTCATTCCCTAGAGTGTTATTTCTTTGGTTAATGGTTGCACATGAGAAGACACATGAATATGGATACAACTCAAACAAAGAAACCAACTCTCCAATGAATGAAATGTGGTCTAAAATGGGTAAACATTGCATAAGACAAATTAAGTCTATCAATGACCAATCAAAGAATGCAAGATCACTCTGCACCAATGAAAATGCTCGGATATGATAAAGTCATGAACCTGGCATGGCCTACTAGACTGTTCATTTTTCACAGTCCTGTGAAATTAGATGGACCTTGAGATTTCTATTTCACCAGTGTAGCAATGTAAACTGTGGTATCATAGCTGACATGAAGTGCAAAGCTCTAGGCATCTAGTAAAAAAACTATACACCTATTGGCTTCTTGTCTGGTTTATGTATTCATAAAAAGAGGTGAAGATCTGTAATAATTACTTAAATATTTTTTTACAGTTGGAATGTTAAATATATTTGCTTGAGGAAAGGACTTGTTCAACATTTCAATGTAAATGGTACAGAACGAATGAACCCAAACCAAAGCAAACAAGCCAAACCAACCCAAACTCATGTAAAGCTTGAGTAAGCATTGTTTTGATAAGCATGTTTGACTGTCATCTTAGAGCCCAAGACAGCAAAAATGATAATATTTATCATCAGAGGCAGATTCAAGGTGGGGGGGTTACAGCATTTTTTACACCATAGCATCTTCTGGACACATTGGATTACCATACAGCAAAGGCAATATTCTTTAGAAAAGAAATGCTAGCAGGTTGTGGCTGTTTCACCCCTTCCCTAAATCTGCCCCTGATCATGTCACTAAAACTGAATGGTGTCGCACATGCCTCAAGGGATAAAACCAGATTTAAGGTGAACTGGAGAATGATTTTCTTCTTTTCCTGGAGTACCTGATTTATGACCTTTTGTGTCTTTTGGAATGACATTGCATGTTCCTTCGACAAAAAAAAAAAAAAAAAAAAAACAGATTCAAGGCAAACCAGAGAGAGATTTTCTTCTTTTCCTTGAATAGCTAATTGGAGAATGAGAACATGAATTTCTTCTTTTCCTGGAGTACTTGGAGAATTGATGACCTTCAATGTCCTTTGGAATGAGGCTGCATCTTCCTTCAGAATAAGACCAGATTCAAGGCGAACTGGAGAAGGATTTTCTTCTTTTCCTGGAGAAGCTAATTGGAGAACGAGAACGTGACCTTAAATGTCTTTTGGATTTTGATTTCCTTTTTGATGTTAATAAGGGAGATCTTGACCTTGACCTTGAACTGTCAGATGAAGCATCACTATCAACAGACCCAGATTTATACCATGATTTCTTGTTTGCTTTCGATTTATGATATGGTGAAGGTGATCTTGATTTACTTTTACCATTTTTAGCTCTTGAATTCTCTTTATTTTCAACAATATGTGGTGATGGGGATCTTGATTCTCTGCCAGAACCAAATCTCTTCCTGGTCATAGACTTTGGTGGTGATCTTGATTGTGATCTCGATTTAGATCTTTTCTTTGTTTTGAACTTTGGAGAAGTAGATCTTGATCTATGCCTTGCTCTTCTCTTGGTCTTGGATTTTGATGGAGATTTAGATCTTGATCTTGATAATGACCTATTCCTATCTTTAGAATATGGAGAATTTGATTTTGCTCTAGATGTGGACCTAGACATGGATCGGGACCTTGATCTCTCCTTATTTTTAGACTTTGGAGAAGCTGATCTCGATCTTGATCTGGGCCTAGATTTCTTCTCAACTTTAGACTTTGAAGGAGATCTAGACATTGATCTGGACCTTGATCTCTCCTTATTTTTGAACTTTGGAGAAGCTGATCTCGATCTTGATCTAGGCCTAGATTTCTTCTCAACTTTAGACTTTGAAGGAGATCTAGACATTGATCTGGACCTTGATCTCTCCTTATTTTTGAACTTTGGAGAAGCTGACCTTGATCTTGATCTGGGCCTAGATTTCTTTTTAACTTTAGACTTTGAAGGAGATCTAGACATTGATCTGGACCTTGATCTCTCCTTATTTTTAGACTTTGGATAAGATGACATTGATCTAGACCTTTTTCTATATTTAGACTTCGGCGGAGACGCTGATCTTGATCTCTTCTTGGCTTTAGTTTTTCTATTATGCCTAGATCGTGATCTGGACCTTTTCTTGTTTTTTGACCTTGATTTAAGCTTGGATTTAGAAACTGATCTAGATCGGGATCTTGAATGTGACCTAGATCTACGCCTGGATTTTCTCTTTCTAGGCCTTGATTTGTGCTTTGATTTAGATCTCGATCTCGATCTGGAACTTGAAGATGACTCAGATTTACTCCTTGATCTGGATTGTACTTTCTCTTTTGACTTTGATCTTGAGTGAGACCTGGACTTGTCTCTTGATTTTGATCGAGACTTTGATCTGGATTTATGTCTAGATCTTGATCGTGACCTTCGTCTTCTATTCCTAGAATACCTAACAGGAGATCTTGATGAAGAACGCTTCCTTGGGCTTCTAGACCGGGATTTGTAAGTATGCCGCCTTGACCTTGTGTGTGATCTAGATCTTGACCTCGACCGCGAGTGTAATGCTTTTGGAGTTTCTTCTGTCAGCTTTATCTTCCTGCCAAAAAATTCCTTGTTATTGAGCCCCTCGATTGCCCTGCGCATATCATCCTCTGTTGTGAATTCCACAACCCCTTCACCTGGTCTTCTCCGGTGAGTATCTGCAAAGCATACTTCACCAGCAGTGTTCATAAATTCCTTCAGTTCTAGCCATTTGGCGCGAGTTGACAGGTTTTCAACCCTTACGCGGTAATTTGATCTGGTAGGGGGTCCCATCTGCTTGGTTCTGCCGGCATACCCCCCTGATACCGTATACCCACCAACTCCATTCCTCACTTCCTTGGCTCTCTCTACCAATATACTCTGGCCGTGGAAATTCGTATTATTTAGTGCTCGTACCGCCTTATCAGCATCTTTGGACTCTTTGAACAACACATAAGCAAATCCTTCTCTAAAGTCAACCTCGCGCACTTTACCAAAGGTTTTCACGAGATCTTCGAGTTCTTTCTCCGTTACAGTCGCCGCCAATCGACCACAGTACACCTTCCCACTCATTTCTACTACTATAAATGAAATAAATAGAGTTTTCAGGGTCAAAAAATAGAGATTTTTGTCGGATTTTCAGCTAGGCTTGCAGAGTTTGATGGCCATGCTTGCAGTGACGCGCATACATGTTGGTGAGATACCGCTGTGCTGGGGCTGCGCACGTGGATCAAGAACCGCCATGTTTCGCTGTCGTCGTATGACACCAAGATATTTTAGCCTTCGAAAAACCGCTTTATCCTCACATAGAACTCCAAATCACTGCTGTGGCATTAGAAGAGATGCTGCTTCATCCAATGCAACAGCTGATTCGATTTATTTAGCTCCTATTCGGAGTTTTTCAAGGTATCTTCCAAGGAGTTCTGCAAGAGTTGTTCCAGACGTCATTCCATTCATAATAAAAAAACAACCTTTGAAATTTGCAAGATCTGCAAGGTTTGTAGAATGTTTAGTTGTAACGTGAGCTGTTTATATGTTAATGCATAAAATTTATGCAATCAAACTTTAGTTTTTAACATTTTTGTACAAAATATCACCTTACATATATAGCCAAGGGCCTCGGCTTTAATGGTTATTATGTAATTACACTCTTGATGCATTACCGAGTGCAAACAATTAATCCGTGAAACACTAATTACTAAATAGTACAAAATAGTGCTAATTAAGCAATAGAAAACAATGGAATTTGCATGAAATTATGCTATTTAGTATTACTAAAGTTTCACTGTTATGTTGTTTGCACTCTATGACAGATATCTATGATTATTATTATTATTATTATTATTATTATTATGAGAGGGTGGTACTAAATAGTATTTACACTAATTCTCAATATTATGCATATTATTAATTGTGCATGTACTGATATTTGTTACAGCTGGTTTAGTCCTCGTCGATTTGCAGGATCTCAGAAGAATGGTGATGGTAGCTCAAGGTACAAACAGCCAACCACATTTAAGCAAGGAATCAAATACCTTAAGATAATTGATATTTTGGCTAAGTGATCATTATACTTTCATATATTTTCAAAAATATTTCAAGGAAGATATTTTCTTATTCTCCTGGCTTGTAGAGGCTAGTAGAACTTTCACCAATTTGCTTGAGTGACCACGAAACAATTGCTCCAAGATGAAGTTTGACGTGGTAAAACTTGGAGTCATTGTCTTGTAGTCACTCAAGTAAACTCAGGAAAGGTTTATATGTGTGTTACTTGACCTTTAACCTTGGAGCCAAGGGCACTGTATACATAGTTAAAAGCATATGTTTGGTATTATATTTGAATCCAGCAGTTCATCCGAATCAAGTAGCAATGGAAATCAAGATGATAACGGTGACGGCTCCAATAAAGATGATCCAGAAGTGGTTATTGAGGATAAGGCAGGAACAAGCCCTGATCCAACGCAGGGTGTTCTTACACAGATCCTAGTTCCTGATGTGTTTCCAGAAGTACCACTCATCCCAGTTCACAGAAATCCAGTTTTTCCACGTTTCGTAAAAATGCTTGAGGTATGTTGGGATCCCTGTGGTGTGTATTCCACAGGTAGTCCATCCATTACCGTGATATATTATAGAGTAAATCATGGGTATTTATTAATTTGTTTGTAATTTTAATATGTGTTTCTGCTTGTTTAGATTAGTGATAAATCTTTAATGGATTTATTGAGGGTAAAGTGTCGTCTAACCCAACCATATGCAGGAGCTTTCTTAAAGAAAGATGATAAGTATGTGAATACTCCCTTCTTGAAATTGTCTTGAATGTGAGGCGAACGGAACATACAAAAGAAATGCCACGAATTCCATCAAGAAAAAGCGTGATTTCTTTCTTATCTTCATGTTGGCCTCACATCTACGATATTTTTAAGAAGGGTCCATGAGGCTCTCGTTTTGCAATAAAAATCTGTTAATCAAAGATATTGTTAGAATACATTAAGGTACACAAGAACTGTACTTTGATAAAATGTATTTGATTGATTCAATGGTAGTCTATCACCAACCACTTTTCAGAACTTTTGTCTCAATTAATATTTTACGATGAAAATAGTTCTAAATCTGAGTTGTCAATCTCTTCTTTCCAGCGATGAAGCTGAGGTGGTAACCAAACTGGATGATGTGTACCAGGTGGGTGCATTTGTGCAAATTACAGAAATGCATGATATGGGACATAAGATGAGGATGGTGATTCTGGGCCACAGAAGGTAAGATGCCGCTCTTTGAAATAACCATGGGAATCCAGAAGCTTAGAAGTTATTGTAACAAGGCTATTTACTGCTGAGTCGAGGTTCAGATACAGAAAAACCGTGCTGAGGTCTTGAATATATGTTTTCAAGGCATAGGGCATAGTTTTTTACTATTTGAACCAACTTTATGACAGTATAAAACTTTTTTTTTTCCATGTACTTTCCCACTTGTTTTGCAATTTGTTTTGATGTTAAGCAATCCGTCATCTCAGGATACCAGACTGCAATTAGAGATAAAAAATACAGCTTGCTCCAACAGCTAATCAAAACAGACAATTTTTAGGACACAGAACAGAACAAAAATGAATAGTAATTTATAGAACTAATATGTTATTGTGTTATTAGAATTCAAATAATGGGAATCGTTGAAGATCCTGCCCATGTTGAAAAGTCAGTCAAAGAAAAAAAAGATGCTGTTTCTACTGAAGTGAAGTCTCCAGAAGAAGTTCAAGATCCAGCACAGAACATAGTTGAACAGGACAGTGAATCAGAAAGGATAGATTTAGAAAACATGGTAAAGCAGGGAGAAAAACCAATATTGATGGTTAGAGTGGAGAATGTATTACACCAGCCATTTAAAATCACACCGGAAGTCAAGGTAAATAGTCATGGGCTGACAAAGATTTTACATCAGAAATTTTACCTTTGTCTTCATATCTTTATTTTTACCTTTTACAGATATGGTTTTTATCTCTGTCACTAGTAATAATAGTTTTAAAGTGTTTATGTGTTTTATCCATTCTTTCTTTCATTAATTCTTTCATTCATTCTTTCTTTCATAATAGTTCTTGATAATTTTTTTTCTTTTTATTTAATTTTTTTTTTTTTTTTTGTAATAATTTGGTAATTCTTTGATTCATTAACTTTTTCAATTACTTACGTTCTTTCGTTCATTTTTTTCATTTTTTCTTTCTTGTCTTCTTTCATTCATTTTTTTATTCATTTATTCATTCATTCATTATTTCATTTATTCTTTATTTCATTTACCTCAGGCATTATCAGCGGAAATGATCAAAACCATCAAAGAAATCATTTCTTTGAACCCACTTTACAAAGAGTTCTTGGCTCAACTCATAGAAGGTGGAAAGAAAGTTGTTGACAATCCGGTTCACCTCTCAGATTTTGGTAAGGCTATGTGCAAATGGTAATCATCATGTCAATAATGCTTGACATATATAATGTATCCCATGAGTGATATATCCTTCCCTACCTCACTCCTGTTGAGTATATTTTGCCACTCAATTAATATGGTTTCATCATGGTCACAAATCTGTACAATGACGATGACAAACTTTTAATGTTATAGGTGCTGCACTAACTAGTGCTGAGTCCAACTTTCTGCAAGAAGTCTTAGAGGAGACAAACATTCCTCGTAGGCTGAGACTTACCCTTGAATTACTGAAGAAAGAGTTGGCAGTTTGCCTTCTGCAACAGCAGTTAGGGAAAGAGGTAGGTATCCCAGGCCTTGAGAAGGGGGATAGGGGGAGTATGGCAACTCTAGCTATCAGCTACCTTTGTACAGTAACAACCAATTAGCATTTGATAAAACTGTGATGTCATAGTACACAATCCGGCATTCAACATACAGGCTCTGACTATAGTAAGCCCAGAAGCTGTTTCAAGGTATCAATAAAATCTGGTTTTGCCTTGCTCGCTATTATTGCACCAGTCCAGTATTCTCAGTATCACTATTTGCTCTGTAAATAATGCCGCCCATTTATTACACATTTAGCTTCAATATCTGTGTGATAAAGCCATGAAAAAAAACATATTGTAAACAGTGAAGTGATATCAGTAAACTGGAAACTGTAAATTTTGCTATTTTATTTACCCTAAATGTGTAACAAACAAATTATTACATGTTAAGAGCTTGATATCATTTTTATTCACTTGTTTTCCATATGATATCACTCACTCACTTGCAGACTCGCTCATTCGTGATGTGATATGGAACTTGTGTGAATAAAAACCATATCAAGCTCTTAACATGTGATATTCTTAATGTATTCACAGGTTGAAGAAAAGGTCAACAAGCATCAAAAGAAGTTCCTCCTTCAAGAGCAGCTGAAAATCATCAAAAGAGAACTTGGGCTGGAGAAGGATGACAAAGATGCTGTAGGGGAGAAGTTCCGCGAGAGGATTAAAGATCTTGTTGTTCCCAAACATGCCATGGAAGTGATTGAAGAAGAGCTAGGAAAGCTGTCGTTTCTTGATACTCACTCATCTGAGTTCAAGTGAGTATTATTAAATATTGTAGTCAAATAACTGACCAATATCTAAAATCATCCACAGTAAACAAAAAAAAGATAAGTCAAAGATAAGGTCTCTCCCTTGATTTTAGGGGTTTTTACTCTTTAGGGCATAGTCCTTGCACGCCCTGACTTTGATAAGCCTAGAGGTTGTTTTCAGAAAATTTTAAAAAAAATCTTTTGTATTGCCTATATGGTGAAGGTCCATATTCATGTTGTTCATTTAACAGCGTAACAAGAAACTACCTCGATTGGTTGACAAGTGTGCCGTGGGGAATGTACAGTGAAGAAAACATGGATATAAAACGAGCAAGAGAGGTTCTGGATGAGGATCATTATGGACTTCAGGATATCAAGGACAGGATTTTGGTAAAACCATTAGACTATCCTAGCGTAGATAGTACAGTACATACCATATATCTGTGAAAAACGCTGGAAAAAATTGCACAAGTTTGCAGGTGTTAATAAGTTCATTAGACCTCAGTAGACTTTAAACTTTGCTTTAATTTAGACAATTTTGAAAGTTAATTTTTTCATGGATATATGGTATGCACTCTATCTATGTGTTATTCAATTTGTTGTCACTGGTTTGAAATAATTTGTATTAAAAACACAAGTGTTTTGGTTTAAAAATGGTCGATTGTTACTGATAGCTGGCAATCAAAGTTGTGATGGTTTATTGACTATGAAGCATTTATTAAGATGTATATTTTTTGGATGTAGGAATTTATAGCTGTTAGTCAGTTGAATGGCAGTGTTCAGGGAAAGATACTATGCTTCACTGGTCCTCCAGGTATGCCGCAAAGCTAATATTTTAAGTAATATATACAGTATGAGTGGCCGTGTTGTATCAGATATACAACCATGAGGGGTAGCTGAGTGATTGTATATCTGATACGACACGGACACAAATACTGTATATGACTTATCAAACGTCTAGGTTAGTTCCTTTGTGTTTCACTAAAATTTTCAAAATTAAAGTGAATTTGGCCAAGAAAATCCAACTTAAAGTTTATGCAAATGAACACAGTTTTGTATCAGATTTACAACACTCTTCATGGTCGTGATTTCTGTTGTGTTTTCCTCATGAATTATTAATGAGTTTGATAAACTTAATTATACCGTAGGTACAGTGATAAAAGTATAAATATTTCTTGCTGGAGGGATATGATGATATTTGTTTTCCATAATATAGTTGTGTCTGTTAAAATGTGGTTTTACACATATTATTATACCCCATATGACAGAAGCAAAATAAAAAATTCAGATGCAGCTTGGAGCCACCGAGTTTGTGTAATACTGAAGAATGGTGTACTTGGTTTGTTCTCTTGCTTTTATAGCCGTACTAATTTTATAAATTCTATATTATTGTTTTTCAGGTGTTGGTAAGACAAGTATTGCAAAGTCTATAGCACGTGCCTTGAACAGACAGGTAATCAAACTAAAACATTATAGTCATAGTATTCTTTAACACCCTATACTCCAAATCCAGATTATATTTATAATGGAATACACACAAGACTGTAATCTATTTCATTCTGTATTATTTTTCAGTATTTCCGCTTTAGTGTCGGCGGCATGACAGATGTAGCTGAAATCAAAGGGCACAGGTTAGTACATGAAACTTGTACCAATGGCTGTCACTCATTTGATTTCCTTAACTTATGTGTTGAATCATCTGAATAAATAAATAAGATATATGAACTGAAATCATGATAGGTCTATACAATACAATAAACTTTATTTAAGGAGGGTGACACAATTAACCCAGAGAGTTATCTAACTTGTGGCCTTAGGTCAGCCTAGGTGTCGTTTCTGATGAGGGAATAAAATTTGATGTGAAATGTGATTGTCTGGGTGAGTGACTGGTGGTGACTGACATTTTGACAACCTGAGTGGAATTCATCTTCAGACACCTGGGTTCAAACCATTTACTCTTGGGATAAAATTTGTATTTGGTTTGGTCATGAAAGATGGTGGGGCTTTAACCGGAATCCATACCATACTTTATTTGAGGTATGAAATATCGCCATGGTTAAGACATTAGAATGACTGTGGTATTTGATTTGCAGGCGAACATATATTGGAGCCATGCCAGGAAAAATTATTCAGTGTTTAAAGAAGACCAAGACAGAAAATCCACTAATTCTCATAGACGAGGTATGGATTATTGACATGATTATAACATATTGATGCTGTCTGACAATATAATGATCTCTGTTTTGTGCAATTGACAGGTTGACAAGATGGGGCGTGGAATACAGGGTGACCCAGCGTCAGCCTTGTTGGAGCTGCTTGACCCTGAACAGAACTCAGGATTCTTGGACCATTATCTTGATGTGCCAGTGGACTTGTCGAAGGTCTAGATTCTACAGTAGTAACTCATTGGTCTTTTCAGTACACTTTACATTGGGTGTTTTCCCATTTCAGACCATGTGTCATTCTCTAAAGTATTATTACTTTGTTTAATGGTTGTGTATGAGAGGTAACATGAATGTGGATACAACTCAAACAAAGATTTTTTTCAAGAGAATGACACATGGTGTAAAAGGAGGAAACATTACACCCAGGCCCAACTTAGAATAAATTATCGTACTAGTATTTTGGAAACTCCAGTATAGGTGGGATGTACGATGACGATATTTGTTTTGGTTGATTGTTATTTAAGCTTTCAACCAAAAATCTAATGAACAATCCAACAATGAAGGGCGACAAAAACTATTGTTAAATGTTAAAATGTTTGGCACATTAACATCACAATGGCAACATTATAAACATTATGTCCAGCTATTTCAGCAATAATCGTTTTTATAACATAATTTGCAAAAAAAAAAAAAAAAACACTGTATAATAATTATTAAAAACTGCTACTTTGTATTTTATTTTCAGGTTCTCTTTATCTGCACAGCCAATGTTACCGACACAATACCTGGACCTTTGAAAGACAGGATGGAGATCATCCATGTATCGGGCTACGTAGAAGATGAGAAAAAATCTATTGCTAAGGTGCGCAGATATTTTTTGCACACTAGTGCTTATTGCTGGGTCATACCAACCAATCTTTAAAAAAGCTGGGGAAACTGGACCACTTTTTGTAGCACCATTTTTTTCGTTTATTTTTTTGATGAATCACTGACATATTGGAACTTTGCCAATTGTTCCACTGTGTTGGCTACAGCCCTGTTTTGTGACAAATGTTGGTGTTTTTGAGTTTAATATTGTCATTAGTTCAATATCATTTTGTTACCCTCCTTAGACGTATCTGATTCCCCAAGCCAGAAATAAGACAGGAATCAAAGTAGAACAAGTGGAACTACAAGATGATGCACTAGAGACTCTTATCAAATCCTACTGTAGAGAAAGTGGGGTTAGGAACTTACAAAAACACATTGAAAAGGTAAAAACAATATTTGGTTAGAGGGAACCAAAAGAACCCAAAAAGCCATTTATGTGTATTGGAAACTACTTGAGTGTTGGAAGCCATTTGAGTGCCAAAAGCCATTTGGGTGTTGGAACACATTTGAGTGTTGGAACCCATTTGAGTGTCCAAAGCCAGTTGGGTGTGGGAATCCATTAGAGTGTCAAAAACCATTTTGGTGTTGAAACCCTTTTGAGTGTCAAAATCCATTCAAGTGTTTGAAATCATGAGTGCTGATAGCCGATCAGTTGTTTAAAGCCATCTGGATGCTGCAAATGGATTGTGTATGATTGTAGGCTGGGGTGGTGCAGGTGACACTTCACAATAAAAAATGATATACTTTTCCAAATGTGCAAGAAATATTATGGATTGACTTTTTTCTCAGATCTTTCGTAAAGCTGCACTCAAGATAGTCCAGGACAAGGATGACTTGATTAAGATTGGTCCAGACATGCTTAAGGATTATGTTGGCAATCCAGTGTTCAACTCAGATCGTATGTACGATGAAACCCCGCCAGGGGTAGTGATGGGCCTGGCCTGGACATCTATGGGTAAGAAATTAATTTTCACACCTTCATCTTTGTGGAATTAAGTTAGAGAAATATTTTGAACTCTTCTATGAAAAAGAATAATCCAAAAAGTAGTTAAGAATTGTTTATTTTAAATTTATCGCCGCAGGTGGTTCAACTCTCTACATCGAGACGTCGCTCTCCGAGAGCCTTGGTGCTGACAAAGATGGAGCAGGTTCAATGAGTGTCACTGGACAGCTTGGCGACGTGATGAAGGAGAGCACACAGATTGCTTACACATTTGCTAAAGTATGAAAATTTGAATTTATTTACTTCACTGATTCCTACTCTTTGAAGAGAAGGTATGATTATTTCAAACTGTTTTCAGGGCTTCCTGGCCAATCTTGATGCCGATCAAGACTTCTTTAGAAAAGCAAAGATTCACCTTCATGTACCAGAGGTAAAAATTAATATATCAAAATTTAAAAATTCCAATTCCTTTGGTATCTTATGTAATTCTACATATTTTAAAATAGGGAGCAACACCCAAAGATGGACCATCTGCAGGCTGCACAATCATCTCAGCTCTCTTATCCCTGGCCATGAATAAACCAGTAAGGCAAAATATAGCCATGACAGGAGAGGTGTCTCTGACAGGGAAGGTAAATAACTAAAGGCAATTACAAGATTTTATGCCTCAAATATACTTTATAGTACAGAACAATTATCAACTTATATTTAAATATTACAACCATCACTCGCTTACAGCTATTTTCATAAACATGCAACCTCAGCGCTCTTGAGTTGCACTCTTAAAATTTGGTTTATGGCTGGGGCTAATCAAACCTAATCAGTCGGTACCTTTCATATTTTTGACTGACAGCAGCGAAATTTCAGCTTGCAACTCAAGAGCACCGAGGTGATATGTTTATGAAAATAGCTGTAAGAGGGCTCTTCTGTGAGGTTTGCTCTACACGCACAACTTACAACACTCAGCACTAAACTTATAAAGAGAGGAAAACTGGAAAACCTAGAGAACCAGGGGAAAAACCTAATGGCAAGGGATAAAACGACACATCAAACACTCAGCTTACAAGACATTGCCATTGCAGCACCCATGCCACACTTCTTTTTAATGTGCATTAAGATTTCCATTTTTTGCAACTTGCTTCCAGATATTACCAGTTGGAGGAATTAAAGAAAAAATTATTGCAGTAAGTAGAGATTTTTTTAAAATTGTTATGTTGCAAATCACGAATAGAGCATTTTTGCTATAACAACAGCAGCCATATTAGATGCGGACAGGAACAATACAATTGTTTAACATGAGAAAGAATTCAGTTCTCAGGAATAAAGATTTTATTGTTCTGCCCTTTGACATGGCTGTCAGGATGTGATTATACGAAACCTTTTTTGAAATGTCTTATTTATTGAAACTTTTTCTTTAACAGGCAAGGCGAGCTAAAGTCAACTGTATTATCCTGCCTGAGGGGAATAAAAAAGATTTTGCCGACCTGCCAGATTTCGTAAAGGAAGGATTGGAAGTTCACTTCGTCCCTCATTATAATGATGTTTATAAATTTGCTTTTGAGTCGTAACACTTACTAGGTAAAAGTTAGGATAGGTTTAAAAGTTGCTAGGAAATTATATTTATACAATGGCTTAGATTTTCAGTCACTGAAATTTGAGAAGTATAACTTTTTTACAGTGCTTTTCAATCACATAAGTATGATGGTAAAATCATTCAGTTTGCTGTATCAACAAAATAGGGATTTAGTGGACATCAATCAAAGTGTTTCCATGATGATGTCTGGAAACAGAAAGTTGCAAAGAGCATATGCCTATGGAATGTCATGAAAATGCTTTGATTTCTATCTTCCAACCCTACTGAGTGATGACACCAATAGTTGTTATTGCAGTTGAGCCGGTAATTAGACTCTTCCACAGTCTCTCGCTTGTCCGTTCCGTCTCCACGCTTAGAGACTGTAACAGTACAATGACTGAAAGGACTTATGGGTCCCGAAAACTTGTACCCAGCGTGCTTTGGGAACCAAAATACTCGTCCACAGTCTCTCTCGTTTCTGCTGCCATCTTGAAAATATTGAAACGAGAGAGACTGTGGACGAGTATTTTGGTTCCCAAAGCACGCTGGGTACAAGTCTAAGCCGGTAATGTGATATTTTTTTTGTTTTAAGAATCATACAAGTGAGGCTGTTGGGGCAATACAATGCTTGTTGTCTCATTTGCATCTCATTTGCATGCATCCATAATATCTGCTATTTTGTGTGTGTTATTGAGATCAAGTACCATAATTTGAAATAATGAATCTAGCCAACAGTTTTGCAGTCTATAGCATTTAATTAGTTTAACTGTAAGTATTGGACAACAGTGGTGCAATATGTTGCAGGCAATATCCTTGATCTTCAATATCCAATTTTGATAAAAATAGATTTATTGTTCAAGTTAACAATCTGAAACAAAATATGTTATTGTCTACTAGATAAATGAATACGAAAATATATATCGCTACACTCTAGTGTATAAAATGACAGTCTGTTTTGCTTCATTGCAAATAAATATTTATAGAAAAGCTTTAAGATAAGGTGGACTATCTTTCTCTCTGTGAGGATTCATCACATTGGTTGGTGATTGTTCAAGCTTTTAGTGTTTTCACTATGTTTTAGACACACAAAGATATCTAGAAAATTGTATAAACTTTGGCTTCTGGTACTTATATGACAAAGAAATAAAATAAAATAATTTTTAATGGACTAAATTTGTATAATTTTTTGATTTTATAAATAAAAGATACTCAGAAATACTCCCTTTCCCCTTTTTATGCCCCTTAATTTTGTACAGGATCAGAGAGCCCCTTGGATACCAGTATTCATTACCAAGGTTATACCTTTGCAACATGCAGTTTTCCATATTCTGAGAACATTCCAAGGGCTTGTTGTGAAATGGGCTTTTCACTGCCGCCAGTCAAGAACATAAAAGGTACCGACTCATATTTGACTGACGGCAGCGTGCAACTTGTAACTACGGAGTTCGCAGAATAGGGAAAACCGCAGTAAGACTACATGTCATTCCCTTGAGTAGAGAGAAAACTAGTTCAAAAATAAAGAATCTTATTTGGAAAAAGAGATGCAACATGGGACCGTGAGAAATAATACAAATGAACACAATTTGAAAGTATTTAGCGCAGTTATCGATATTCTGTGAACTTGATAGGTGTGAGCTGTACACTGAAATTTGATTTTTAGCTGACATCAATCAAAAATAGACAGTACATGTACCTTTTATGTTCTTGACTGGCAGCAGTGAAAAACCAATTTCATGATGAGCTGTTGAAATGTTGGAATTCGCAGAATATTAAAGGATACAGTAAAAACAGTAACATCTGTGATAGAGTACACGCACTAAACCCGTGCACAATAATTAGTACTAATTAGTACTATTTTATACAGAATCCTTTGTTTTCTATTGATTAGTTATCACTATTTAGTGCTAAAATTAGTATTAGTTTCACGGGTTTAGCGCGAGCATCCTACCTGTTATTTCAAATGCTTTAGTTTCTAGTATGTCCTTGCCCTAAATGTTAAGGTACTGTCATAACGGCTTGCTCTCAAAATCATACAAGTCCATGATATCCTCTGTTATGTCTTGAAGCTCTTTCTCAGTGGCTGTGTCACACATTGCCTGTAGAAAAAAATATGCACCTATAACAATTCCTAAACAAGACAGGCAACTCAGCAAATTAACTAGTGAATCTATTATGAAATTTTGCAAAAATAAAAGCAAAATATTTTTTTATGTTTTGGATCGTGGCACTGGTTGAATTCAGTCAAAGGCAAAGGTTTTTCAAAGGACTGTATACATCATGTGTCTATAGGTGACTGTGGATCGTTACAGAATTTTACGACTAATTTTCCTCCATTAAGATGCTATCAATTTCATGTTATTTGGATGTGAATGGAATGGATTGGTTGTGACTGAAATGGATTGCAAGTGACACGGCCTTAGTCAGTAACTGGGTCTTGAATCAGAAAAAAACGTTTTGAATTTTCACCTTTTGATAGGCCATGGATAATCTTAATGTATAGCAAAATCATGCCCAACTTCTAAAACTTCTTTTCCTCTTCTAAATGCCCGAATTTTGAGTGCTTTTTAATTTTGGAAAATCCGGAACCGTACATAGATGGAATGGACTGGACTTCGGTTGGCTGGATCGTACGGAATGTAGACGTTTTTTTAAGCCGAATTTGCAGCTTTTATCCTACGATTTTTATTTTATTATTAATAACTAGTGATTCTATTCTGAAATTTTGTAAAAAAAATGCAACAAGACACTCTTGGAGGATGCATTAGGTTGCCCAGTGTGCTGGTATGCTGGAGCTTATTCATATCAATTGTCATCATGCACAGAACAAGAAAAAGCTCTGACATCATACCTTCCACCAAGTCTTCTGTGCTTCATGTGAAGGGACTTGCATTCCAGTACATAGTATAGCAAAGTAAATCACAGCAATAGCTACATGTGATGGTGGATATTTAAGAATGATAGGAATATGGTAGCTGTCTCGGAGTATAGACCAGCTTAATTGGGTTACTTGGCTTAAGCGCCAAGCGTCCGGTTCAACCCAATCTTGTAAAGATTTGAGGTAATGAAGAAGGTACTGAAAAGTAAAAAGCAAAAGTAACATTGAGGAAATTATCTCCATAAAAAAAGCCAAAATTTGAGGGCAAAAGAACACTTACCTTGTGCGGCTTGTCAGTATCCACTTTAAACGCTAAGACTCTAAGCACCAATAACTCGCAGTTGACTATGCTGTCTCTTAACTCCCAGTACCTGTTGCCAACCTCGAGAAATGGTACATTCTTGTGAGTGGTCCTTAAATGAAATGATGGTAACCAAGGTATTAGTAACTATGACAACTTAGTACAATTAAAACAATATGCTACAATAATATAGTAACAGTATCTATAGTTACTGGAACTTTCATAGTTAATGTAGCTATAGAACAGTAACTATGACAACAATAACCATGGTAACAGTTATTTTGGTAACAGCAATATAATTGAAACAGTTTGTTATTCAACATACTTATAACAGACATTGATAACATCTCTTAATTTACGTGGAGATTCTTCTGCTTTAGATGCCAAAAATAGAACTGCAGTTCCAATCGACTAGAAAATCAAATATATGAAAAGTTCAGTATTTGCTAGGAATAGGCTGAGTAGCAATACATGAAGGTTTATTATTACCTCAGCATCAAAGTCCTCTTTTTTGCATAATGATACAGATTCTATCCAGAAACGATGGTACAAGACACATGCTGTTGACACTGTTACTGCCGACAGTCTGAGCTTACAGCCTGAAAACAAAGATTGATAATGAACATGAATATGATGATGATTGATGATTATGGTTAGGATGATGCATAATGTTGATGGGGATGATGATCTAGGATGGCAATGATGGTGACAATGATCTGTGATAGTAATGATTGTGATTATGATCTGTGATAGTGATGATGGTGATTATGGTGATAATGATGTGTGATGATCCTGTTGATGATGATGATGATGATGATGATGATGGAGGAGGGTGGTGATTATCATAATGATGATGATGGTGATGATGATGATGATGATGATAGGCACATCAATTAAACAACATCACTGTCCCATTTCCTTACCAGACTCCATGATAAAAGAAGTTACTTTAAAATGTTCTTTAAGATATAGATAATTCCCTCTCTTTCTTTCACTATTTGTAGCCTCTTCTTTTTTCTTGTCTTTCAGGACACTAACGTCCTCAAGTTTGGCCGAAACTTTTGCCATATCTGTCATTGTTCTTCTTGATGCACCAGCTTCATTAAATACCTATGGCCACCATGAAACCTCTAAGCTTTTATTTTCGCGGCTCGTTTGAGAAATAATCGGGGGAAATTAACTTTTATTACGATATTTGAAGTTTTGGTTATTGTTTGTGGACGCCATATTGGAATGAGCCTGCAGTGTAGGTATCAGCTGATATATGAATAGCGCATGCGCTTTTAGTCTTCCTTCGTCGCCATCTTTGAAATTTGAAGAGGAGAGAGTAAAACGTTCTGGTGGGAAGAATGCCTTTAATACAAGAAGCAAAGATTATTACAAGACATTATTCAAAGATAGCAAGGCTATGGTATGGTTCTTAATGCCTTAGTAACCTTTTTCGCAATTCGTTGATGATTTTGGGAATTATAATGGTTTAAAGATATGGCGTCTGGATCTTGCTAGGATAAAAATGATAACTTAAATGATGGACTTGGATGTGGTATTTTACAAATACTTCGTAGTATTCTTAATTAACCTTGTTTACTATTAATGATTATACTTTTTTTCTTGAAATACTCATGGTTACTAATCTTATTTTGTTTTGCTTGTTTATTTATGATCTTTTAAATTTATTTTCGTGATTACTTAGCTTGATGGCAAATTATTAGAGATTATTACTGTTATTGATTAATGAGCGTGTGTGTAATTTTGCCAGGGTTCCAACCATCGGTGCATGGGGGACTGCTGGAGGTGCAGTTTTACTCTATCTCACTGACTGGAAGGTCATCATGAAACACGTCCCTTATGTTGGCAAGAAATATGATCATGAATCACCACGGTAGTAGTCTAACTATTGAGGGTATGTTTGAGAACGTTTGCTTTCATCTTGTATGTGCAGGGCTTAACACTCACTTTTTTAGGCACTAGTCCTTGGGGTAGTCACTGTGGATTATTCTTTTATTTATTTACGCTAGTCTACAGCAAACATTTACTCTAGTCCGAGACTAGTACATATATGTTAGTGTTGAGACCTGGTTTGTATGTGTGCACAAGCACTCTTTTTGGGCACTTACGAGCTCACCCTCAAAGCACAGCAGTGAACAAACAAGCAATTCTACTTGTGTGTTATGATGGGTCCTGAGATTATACCCAGCACCAGCAGTTAGAGGTAGTGATAAGTAACTCATCTCCCTAGCTTACAGAAATATATGTAGAAAGCAAACATTAGGGGAGGGGGTGGAGAGGTTGGTGTTGGGGGAAAATAAGGTAGGGAAGACTAGGAAGTGCATCATGGTAACTGTGTTTCCTTCTATTTTCAGTACCAAATATCTTTACTATTGAAGAGATGACTGTCTTTGCTGTATTAGGAAATTATGTAATTTTGACATTGGTGTCTCTGCTGCTGAGAAGCACTTGGATTGTCATTTTGCCTTTTTCTGCATTAATTTTGCTTAATTTATTAGAGCTGTCATTTTTGCTAAAATTTACTGAAGCAGAATGAATGTGGAATAAATGCTTAAACTTTTTGTTGTTTCTTTTATTATACAGTAGTATATCAACTCTATTTACAAGATACATATTTTATACTTCTACCTATTCTTTTATAAATACATTTTGTTAAGTTTTGATCATTTCATTTTCTGGATGCCATTGTCTGCTGTCTACGGCAAATGCCATTAAGTGTGGTGAAACCTAGAAAAAAAGAAAATATATAGAGAAAACTAGTGGAGTTTAAATCTAGTAATTATTACTAGATTTAAAAGTAGGAAACTCTAATTACCTCGAACTTGCTACTGGACTTCCTTTCACAACACAAATCTAAATTTAATGTAGTTACCACTCCTGGGTGAACGGCTAAACACCTAACAGGTTTTGTGACCCAATTGATAAGGCAGCTGATATATCAAATTAGAATTTTGTGTTGGGAGGAAAAACAGGAGAACCCAGAAAAAATCCCTTCAAGCACAGGAGAACACCAACAAACAACTCAACTCACATATGACACCAAGACCAGCATGGTACTGGACCTGAGTTCCATTGGTGAGAGGTTATGCATTAGCAGCGCACACCACCCATGCTTCAGAAATAGAGATGCCTAAAGGAGGAGGCTAAAGTTCTCATGCTTCTCTTCTCTCATGCCTCCATTTAACATAGGTATCCCAATATGTATTATTTTATCTAAGGAATGAAAGATGTATTTCAGCATAAGGCTTAAAAATATGGCCACATTTATTTAATGTATTTGCATACTTCTTCTGCACTTTTTATTTGGTTAAACCAGCCAGCTTCATGTCAAAATGTGTTGGTTAATGTACAAAAGCATAAAAGTAAATAAATACATTCTTGCTGGTCATACTTTTGCACATAATGCTGTAAATCTTACCTGAAGAACTCTAAAAGCACATCTTTGATCTTGATAAAAACCAAATAAAGTCAGAGCACTCCATACTTTGACAAGACCACTAAAAAAATAATCATGAACATTGGTTGGACTGAATCGTAATGCATGTATCAATAAAACAATACAACAGGGCTCTTAAAACAGATTTTTGATGGGGATATGGGCAGACGAGCAGACAGACCAACAGACACATAGATAACAAGGTATTTTATTGTTTTGCCATCGAACCACAGGTAGCCCAAGCTGCATTATGAGTGTGGACACATGATTGTACAAAACCTCTATTAAACAAGCCAGAATCTCAGCATTAACATTATTCCCATCACATGCATATGACAAGACAAACCTTTCAGGAACTCTTAAGATAGCTTGCAATGTTGAAGAATTGTATTTCAGCACATCAACTGTTAATGCAGCGCCAACCTAATGGTTAAAGTTGCCATTAGGGGAAGTTCATTTGATATGCCGAGGTAAGGTGGATTAAACTTTCTCCTCAAAAACCTTATTTTTTACAGCCCCCCCTAGAACTTAACATTATTTTCAAAGCCCCTTCAAACGAACCATGAAAATTTTCAAATTCAAATCGAGAGCCCACCTGACTACTTCCAAACAGGGGTCTGGCTACGAATATCCATTGATTATTCGCATTGTTAATCATTGTAGAGGTGAATAACGATGTCTTACCTGTCCATGTAATTCCTCTAGGGCTTGAATCAGAAGTCTTTTATACAGCAACATATCTATTTCAGGTACGTTCACACCATCACATCTTTCAAACTCTCTAAACAAATACCCACAAACATCACTAAAGTTCATCATTAACACCTAGTATAAAGCATAAACTTACTCACAATAATACTTTTAGGTAGAAATACTCAGCTTTTTGCTTAAAAGTGACTCTTTCCATGACAAGACTGAAGACATGTGGACAATAATACTACCAGCTGAGCCCACAGTTATTGACCTGCGGCCATATCAGCTGGTTACCATAACAACAGCTGCAAACCAACATGGCGGATCGTGCAACGAAGGTTTGACTTTTGTAGTTTTTGGGTGATTTTTATTGACTTTTTCAMATTATTCTTATTTTAACTAGTATATTTGTTGTAGGAAGTTGAGGAGCAGCTTAAGAAGCGTTATATTGCGAAAGATAAAGACGTGGTTGAGCTGTATTTGTCAAAAAAGTATGAACAGAACGTTGTTTGTGTCTTTATTTAGCTTCTTTGTGTTGCTTTTTCTGGTTTCTCTTATCTTATTTTGTCYTTACAAAATAAATAATTCAGTTGATTCTTTTCTCTTCTTCTAGAGGATTAGATACAGTTAGTGATTTAAAGCGGTTTAAGAATCTACAAAGAATATGGCTCAATGGAAACAAAGTAAGCTTTAGTTTTGAAACGACTGTTCCATCGAGAAGTTCTAGAACTACACCCCTATTCTACATTTAATAATCTTACAATTTACTTTTTGACAAAGTGATTATAATGTAACTTAACTATGTAATAATCATCATATATATTTAGTTTCGTAGGCTAAATTGYTTCAGAACCAACTTCCAGCTCACAGAAGTCTACTTACAGAACAATCTATTAGTGGAGATCAATGGCGCGCTACAACATCTGAAATGCCTTGAAGTTCTCATGYTGAATGGCAACCAGCTGACCAAGCTTACAGATGTTGTACATGAATTTAGAATGATGCATAGGCTCCGTGATCTGAGTGAGTAAAACAAGTCATACAAGGTTGATATGATATCGCGATCCAGGATCTTTTGAGAGAGTGTGTGTTCCGAGGTGCGTTGAGGGAGAGGCGGGCGGGGGAAGATAATGTTTCAGTGTGACATTATAGCAGTTGAAAAAGTTGTTCCTACCCTATCCCCGTGATATCTTCAGTTATCTATATGGTTAGTAACTTGCCATTTGTTCTTTTTTCAGATCTTTTTGGCAACCCATTATCACAAGAGTATGATTACAGATCCTATGTTATCCACCATGTCCCTTCACTTGAAGTACTAGATAGAAAAGGTAACGTGATTTGTCTCCCCGATTAGTAGGGCACTTGTGCCCGGCTAGAAGATTAGAGACATTAATAAAGTTATTATTATTATTATTATGTGATGCACACACTTGTTTATAGAATGGTTCTCGTAAGAGTGGGAAACATGCGGTACTGATTTACAGCACGTACATGGTACGGCATGCCGTAACAATGAAATGGCTTCCCATAAGAATGGTTATCGTATGGGTGGGAAACATACGGTACTGATTTGCAGCACGTACATGGTACGGCATGCCATAACAATGAAATGGCTTCAAATGGTCTTCCAGTAATTCATCCAATCACAACGCGTAGTCACGGCTAAAGTAAGATACGGTACCGACTACAGTAGTGTACGACTATACTATTTTGCCGTATCGTTTCCCACACATACAAAACCAACTTAGTTATTTCACATTGTATTAACTTGTTAGTCTATAACTTCAAACAAGCGATTTTTGATTGTGAATAAGACCAATAAGATTTTTGGCTGTAATAAGACCATTCCCCTCACCTGACCCCATCCATATGCCTTCCATACCTCCCCACTCCCTACAGTCCCTACACCACTAACTTCGCCCAAGTCCCAATGACACATAGTTTTCCTTTGCATATCAACAGAGGTCCTGAAATCCGAGAGAAACAAAGCATTTAARAAGTACGAACCAAGTCGTGATATGGTCAAAGAGACTATATCCTTTGGACGTCGTGTTGATGGGCCACCAACTAAAGTTYATTTTCCCCCTTCTTCTGCGACGTTTCCTAGTCCTGATATAGAACGTGGTAAGTATTGAAAAACTATTATAGATATGTATTTGTAGGGAGTGAATCAATGATTAGTTTAGTTGTCTACCAGCAGGAGACTTAGGGCTTGATTTTGTATCATTATGGATGGATAAAACGCATGAAATATTAAATCGCGAACTTAAAATTTCTGCTTAGAGATTCTTTTTGCTTTTACTTATCGAGTTGCAAATGATTTTTTCGCCACGAAATTTTCAACACGCATCTTGTTTTTTTTCTTCCAATTTTTTGCGTGCACTTGTAATTCTCACTGTGATTGATGCAAAATATGCCACCTGTCAAAACGTCTCTTAARATGAAAAGACCTCAATTTCGATTTTTGCCCCATCTGAGTTTGCGCACAAATATTCGTTGCGGCTAGTTTTTCAAAACACGTCCCACATGGAAAGGAGTGACTAAGGATGTTTAGGCACCAGCGATGCAAGCAGCAGAACGGGTATGCTGGTCATAGCAAGGGGTTAATCRTCTACGGTCTAGGGGCCGACTAACCTCTCCCTTAGGCTTCGGCCGAGCTTCCTGATCAGTCTGTAAATCCRGGGATAGCGGTGTCGGGGTCGAAATCTCCGGCGTAGCCGTAAATGCTTCGCGCTGCCATACGACGGTTCAGCACTCGATGTCTGGAWGTATGGTCCTAAATCGATAAAAATAAAMATAAAATCACAAAAACCAGTTTTCCTAACAGATAAARGTTTAGACAGAAAAAGTGTGCATGCCGTTGAAGGTGACTTTTCAAACGTACTTTTTTCTTTCTTCCTTATTTTATTCAACAGCTGAATTTCACACCGACGAAGGGAGATCCGAGTCTAATACAAGGTGTGTGAAAGATTTTAGTTCAATGAAAACTTTGAAAAAATAATGGTTATGAAAAATTAATATATATTTTTTGATAATTGTCTTACAGCAGTACAAAAGTAGATAATCTGGAAGCAGCCATCGAAAAGCGCAGTCTGCAGAGATCGATAGTGCAGTATTCGACATTTGATTGGTCATCTATACCTTTATCTGAAGAAAGAAGGCTTGCGGGAGGACAAACACAACAACCAAGAATATTGACTGTTAGATTTAGATGAAAATAAACAACATAGAAAAGGAAATTCAATATTTGCTCAAATATCAAAAAAGCTTTTTGTTAGAAGCAATATTTTATGTGCCTTAACTCTAAGGTAAATCCCTAGGAATTGTCAGGAAAAAAAACAAGTCAAATCCTCTGAATTATAGCTGCAAGTCGAAAGTCCGTAACATATACTTCACGTTGAATTTCGACAACCTGAATTACTGTTCTACCAAATGCAGCTTAAAAATTGTGCCAGCGAAAACAGCTATGAAAAATCAAATTTGAAATAAAACTTGATTGAATATCTTTTATTTTTATTCATTCTTTGGAAATTTTTACATGTTGTCTTWAAAAATCCAGAAGTAAAACAAAGTCGTAGAGGTTTAATTTATTTGTTCTTGTCTTTTTTCTTTTTCTTCTTTTCTTTCTGTTTTGGTGAAGACTGTGTCGTGACATTAGACTGGGTTCCATTGGGTYGAGCTTCTTTCTTTAGTTTCTTCTTTTTGGGTTGGCTGTGTTCTTGTGCTGTCCCTGAAGACCTTCCAAATAAACAATCGTGATTAAATTAGTACACTTAACACGGTTTTAATGAATGCGAACGATTTATTTACCATCTCTGCTACTTGTGCTCACACTCGCATTCTCTCTCTTCCTTCACTCACTTCTCAGGCGTGAATTCCTTCGTGCAACTGTCCAACAACTACTTACAAGGGAAGGAGGGGATGTTTTCGCTCAAGATTTCTTCCCCTTGCAATAACGTTAATAGTCTTGTACAGGTGGATTTGATAACGACTTATTAAGAGGGAGGGKTGGGACGGTCTCACTCAAGATGTCTTACCCTTGTAGTAGTGTTAATAGTCTCGCACAAGTGGATTTGATATCCTGTGATCTACCAGYCAGAACACCTTCCGATGCTTTCTGCAATCCCGCCATAACTGAGCTGGAGTCAATTACCTTCTTTTCCTACCACAAATCAATAACRAAAAACAAAAATACAGACTTCATACAAAAACTATTAAAAAGCAGATCCAATTGGGGTTAGGAGTA